CTTCACCCTTTTGTGAATAACCCTGTAAGTAAATGACAAAAGGTTTATAAAAAAGAGTTATTTACAGTTCCTCAAATGCCCTTTATCTAATGACAGATTTTCCTAGAGACCTTGGCGAACATTGACCAGTTCCTGAAAAACGCCAGTCAGCACAAATGGTGTGAAAGAGCCCCAACTGCCTTTCCAGTGGTAAAATGGAGTGGCAGGGAAATTAATGGGAGGCAAGTATGGTGGGGTGAGGATAAAGAACAAGTTCCCTTTTAAACTTTATTTTCAGGCCATAGTATTAATTAATATTTCAGTGACTTTTTTTTGTATTCAAATATCTAAGACAAAATATGCATGTAGAATACACATTCTGACAATCTCACTCCGAAGAAACAATGGCAACCTGGGCAAAAACAGATCATGCATGAACAAAGGGAATCACAACAGTGCATGAGCTCACAAGATTACTCTTCAAGTTACACAGCCGTTTAACAGACCAGGATAAACAAACCTGTAAGGCCAGCAAGAAATACTCACGAAGGCCTGGTTCACACCTGGGCGTTTTACAGCGCGTTTCTACGCACTGTAAAAACGCTCAACATGTGAAAACCAATAATTGCCTATAGGCATGGTTCCCAACTGGGCGTTTTACAGCACCTAGGAACGCGCTGAAAAACGCCCTACACCCATAGAAGTACAGGAGCTTCTTTGGGGCGTATTTGCTGCACGTATCCATTAGGACAGCTCTCGTGAACGCGCGTCGCTGTAAAAACGTGCATATTCCGCACGCCCAGGTGTGAACCCAGACTAAGGCTAGTAAAAATACAGAACGTACCATTAATGTGCTGAATTTATATGTATATATATATACAGCGTATATCATTTTTTTTTTACCCTACTGCAGAACATTGCTGGAGCTTTAGGACTGCCAACACAACCACCAACTTAACCAAAGCTGGTATCTGGATCAGCTTTGGCACACATCCAATGTTGCAGTGCAGACGCCTTCTGCTCATCATTGCGTTAGTTAATGTTTTAGGCTGGCGGGTACAGCTTTCCTTTAAGGTCTCAGCTGGAGGATTCGGTCCTCCCTATAATTACAATAACCTGATTAAATTTTAATAACGATGCTCTAATGAATCTACAACCGCGTTCAAATGTGAATAAATGAATATGGCTTGTTGAGCATCCTACATTAGATGTTATTTATGTGAGAGTAAGGAACAGTATTCCTTTACAGTAAGAGTTAACCCACAATGATGTCAGCATCCTGAAATAGACCTATGATGTAATTGTGCAGTGTGTATAATGCTTTGAGACATCACCAACATTATTGATGGCCAGTATAAAGAAAATTCAATTATACCCCTCCTACAATTACGCCTGAATATACAGAATGGTGAAGTCTGGGTTTTCACCTAGACTGCCCAGAAGAGCTCTCTCAATGATTGCACATCTTATGAATATATTAAAAACAAAGAATATACCACTCTTAAATATATTTAAAAAAAAAAGAAGGGCAATGTAATCTTGTACAAATCCAACTGTTCCAAACAACTGAGCCTATTTTAGAAGACATATAAGAGGAGGTAATTGAAGAAACAAATAGCAGCCAAATCAGGCATTTTTCTTCCAGTCTAAGCCGCATTTAAATGCTCACTGTTCCATCTTTCAGGACAGTATTTCCAATACTGCTTTGTGGATTGTGACTGTAATGTATTCCTTATATTGTAAAGCGCTGCGCAAACTGCCTGAATTGTTCATTTTACACTGAACTATTTAAAGAGAGCCGAGACAGGATCAAGAGGCGAGCGAACCCGGTATGTGTTCGCTCACCTCCCGATCTACTGAGCCGACCTGTCACAGTCTCATTGCCGCAGGTCGGCAAGAACTATGAGGTGAGTGAAAAGCACTCACCTCATCGTTCTCCGTTAACAAAACTACCAGATCAGAAGATTACCATCTAACATCTATGGGTACCCAAGTCTTCATTCACACCAGTGGTCCTTATGATATGCAAGTAAATGGCAAAAATAAATACAATTCTGAGATCAAGTTTTATGTTTTTTTCCGCTTAAATATACGTAGTTCTACCTTATATGTTTTTCCACTTATGTTTCTGTAGTTCTATTTGCATTCCGATCACTAACAGATTGTGTGCATTCGTTTCCATGCCTTTTTCTACAAAATAAACTAAGTGAAATGTGCACATACCTTGTACACAGAACATTTTATATACCCTGCACTTATTTAAGTATACTGTATACAGTAAACTCAGTTATCTGGTATTCAACTAACCAGAAAAATAAATCCCCTGTATACTCACTGTTCTGCTGATTTGCGGCATGTATCATTTCTGTAAATGATCGTGTGTCTATATGTCTTAATTTGCTTTTGATTACTGCATTTCCATATTAATATGAAGTCAATACAGAGTTTATGTTATGTTATGGTATAGTATGGGGTATGGCATTAGTTAGACCTACTTTTATTAGTAACTCTCAAGCAACCAGAAACTACATTTATCCGGAATCTAGCAATCCCCGTGGATGCCGAACAACGTGGAGTTTGCCGTGTTAACACATTGGTGGGAATTCATAAAAACTGAAGCAGTTGGCAACCCATGGCAACCAATCAACTTTTTCATTTTCAAAGATTAACTGAACGAACTGAATAGAGAAGCGGATTGGTTGCCATAAGAAATCTGTGTGCACCAGCAATATTTCCAGTAATGCCCCGTGCACACACTTGAGCTGAGCATCTGATCTTTTTTTTGATTGTACAGGTGGTTCTGCCCACCTGTCATGTTGGAGCTTTTTATTTAATTTATTTATTTTAGACAAGAAACTGCATGAAAAATACACCTTTTTTACTCACTGTCATTGAAGCGTAAATGGACCGAGACGCTACAAGCAACAGAACGCACAGATGTGAACAGGGGTTATCAAAAACAATGTAATTCCTCCAGAGCGTTGTGGCATTTAGACATTTAAGCTCCAAATGTTTAGGTGTGAATGGTCTAAAGTGGCAATCCAGTCAAGTTTATACCCGACAAGTAAAACAGTACTGCAGAATGTACATGTACAATGTGCAGATCCAGGAAGTCTGGGGGGTTTTAATGGCAATTATTATTATTTTTTTTAAATTAAAAGTAGCCCCATCCTGTTCTCTGTGAGCTGTCAGAGACATTAGTAAAAGATGGTGGACCAAATGACAGTTGCCCCGTGGCCTTTACACCACCATGAAATCCCCCCCTTTACTGGCATTCTGATGCACCATTTGTCAGAATGGCATCTATATATTTCTATTGCAGAGGGAATGAAGTGTGCCTATTAGGATGTAATGTACTGAATGCTATTTGTCCTGCGTGAAAAAAAAATGTTGGCCATTTTTGGTTTGAGATAAGCAAACTTCTTTACAGAATTTGGTATATGAGGCCTAACCACCTCACCCAAACACAGCCACATTCAGGGCTTATTCAGACCATCTGCAGACCAGATCTGGATGCGTTTCTGCAAACAAGGTCATGTGCATTACTTATGTTTTTGACACGTCTTTTCTTTTAGTCTTAATTGATATTCTAGTGCGTTTCAGTGTGATGGTGTGTGATCAGAGGTGTTTGTATACGCTTTGCTGTGTCTCAGACCAGAGAAAAAAAAAAAGAGTGCAGGAAGTACCTTTTTTTTCTTTTCTTTTTTTTAATGTTTTGGAACTGAACACAGTGATGTGAACTAGCATCACTTTTTACCATAGGAATGAAAGGGCATGCATTTTCGGACCAGACAAAAAACATCCTGGTCTGGATCTGATGTGAATGGGCCCTCAATCCATGTGAGCTCATATTCACCAGGAAGCCAAATTGTGAACAAACCAAGCTCCAGAAAACTACAGTAAAGCATGCGGGCTCAGCAAAAAACTGCTAACATGACGAGACATTCTGCTTTCCAACCACACCCATAGTAAGGCTTGGAACAAAACCCAGCAGACGAGCTGTCAAACATCACTAGAATACTCGCTTGTTTTCACATTCAGCGTGGTAATGAAGGCAAAGGAAACATTTCTTCCTTCAGATACCTGGACACTCAACTTTAGCTGAAGAAGCCCAGGAGATGCGTGCTGAACTTTATTTTGCCAAACATATTCCTACTAATTTTTAGATTTTATAAACCACCACAACAAAGAAAAATACCCTTTGGTCAGGACTGTGACACAAGCCAACATTTCTTAATACTACACAAGGCTGCAGCAATTTCTAATGCCTTTCCTGGCTTTGTACCAAAAGCATGCTGTAGCAGCCAATTCAACTCCAACAAGCATTCCCTGGAATTCATAAAGCGCGTCATATTCATGCAACGGTCGGTAAGGTGTGTATGGATCCGTTGCAGAACTGCTGCAGGCAGAATTGTGCCCGAAAATTATATATAAGAGATGCACCGAAATGGAAATTTTAAAACCGAAACAAAAAACAATTGTCAGGCCGAAACCGATACCAAAAATGCTTATTTTAATTTTTTCTAATTTTTAATATTTTTATTTATAAACTTACATTTTTTTTAATATTTTTATTAATTCATGTTTTTTTACATTACTTTTAGGGGCTTCGGGGAAATATTGGGGGTCTAAACAGACCCCTGATATTTCCCTTTTAAAATAGAAAAAGAGATTTGAGAACACAGAGTCCTCAATCTCTTTTTCTGTGTCCCCTGTTATCAATGAACCGGAATCCTCTATGAGTGTACCTGTTCATTGATAACATGAGGACATAGTATGTTTACTATAACTACAACTATGAATGAACAGGAGGGGATGTAGATCACTCCCATTCATTCATAATTGAGGCTATAGTAAACATACTCTGTCCTCAATTATGTACACACACTCAGTGATCACTGATCGCTGAGTGTTTGTACCTGGCTCTCCTCTCTGACACGCTGTCACAGGAGGCTGATCGAGCGGTGTAGGAAGGAGAGCTCAGCCTCCTGTGACAGCGCAGCCTGTCTCCACCCACACACCGCTCTGCCGGACTGTGATAGGAGGCTGAGCGGTGTGTGAGGAGACGCCGGCCGCTCAGCGCTTTTCTCCCGCGGCCCTCGGCAGGCTGCCACACTTTCTCTCCTCCCCGCTGGGACACAGAGCAGCGCCCAGCGGGGAGGAAAGAAACCTGGGATGCGCCGATGTAACGGCAGGAAAATTGCACTTTCGGCATTATGCCAAAAGTGCCAGTTTCAGCCGATATATCGGTGCAATATATATGCACCTGAGGAAGGGATCCCGTGTGGCCCAGAAACGTCACCATCTTTGCAACAAAACGTCTACAGGTCAATAAAGACAAGTTTTGAACGCATCTCTGATGTGCTGGTGAAAATATGTGCTGAGGTGATTGACAACCGCCATCACCTCAGCATTCAATAATAACAGGTATACCCTCTCAGGAGTGTGGTGGGATACACACTGGATTTATAAAATACACATGTGACACAATTTCTTCCAAGATGGGAGTCTCATTTACCTCCACCTCCTTCTCATCACCATTATGGCCACATTTCTTAATGTATTTGTTGCACTCATGGTGCAGTCTCAATTTCTCACATGCATTGGAAATGGGGATAAACTCAAGGCCTTCATGAATTTGGCGCAGGATTTTATAATACGCCCATAATGCCAGAAAAGTGTTGCAAAATGCTTTACTGAATTACCCTTATTGCCCTAAAAAAATCCACTGGATACAGGTCATCTTCTCATTTTATCTTCAGTTTACAGACTACATATTTCACAATATATATATTTATATATATTAAAAAATATAAATGTGTGAACAGCATTCTCCAAATGAAGCTGGGAAGAGAAATGGACGCACGCCCCACTTTAAAATGCTGCATGCAAATTGCAATACAAATGATCAAGTGCAAGGAAAATACAGAGCTTTCAAAAAGAAATGTAACATGGCAAAGCAATTTTTTGGTTTGTTTCTGAATCTGGGATTACAGATAGTATGCAAATCTACCAATACCTGACCGCACTTCATTGTAACAATTTAAATCAGTCCACTTAAATAAGAATTTTACTTCAAAGACTTTCAGGTGAAAAGGGCCCATTCAGACTAGTGTGGTGCAGTACCGCATGCATGCAAACGTGCACTGAATAAGTGCAACTCATTCATACTGAACAGACTGACATTTTAACAAACACAGCAGCAGTTTTTACAACACAGCACAACACAAGGGCTGCCTAAGTGCACTGGGTGCCAATCAAAATGAATGGCGCTGTAATGCAGACTTTATTTCGTGTAGTACAGTAATGTGAGGTAATACAAGTATTATTGCAATGCTTTAGTGTGCGTAGGCCCTAGAGGAGTGATAGGCATTCTGTATTTTAGAAAACGCCACAAAGAGAATTTATTAAAACTGCAGCAGACAGCATCTAAAACAGTGGCCCATGGCAACCAATCAACTTCTTGCTTTCATTTTTAAAGCTAACCTGAACAAACTGAAAAGAGACGCCAATTAGTTACAATGCACAATTACTCCAGATTCTGACTGATGCAGTTTTGATCAATCATCCCCCCGACGAGTAAAATGTAGCAGAGGACCTCCAGGACTAAGTTCACACATATACATAATATATATACACCTGTGGCTGTTTGAAGGACTGGATCATATATTGCAGTTTTCCTACATTTTCAAATGTCAAAAATGTTAAAGCTGAACTCTGGGCACACAAAACGTTGTTTAACTCCCTTCATGACGAAGGCCTTTTTTTCAGTTTTTGCACCCATGTTATATTCCACATTTTAGGCCTGAAAATTACTTAAAATCCCCAAACATTATATATTTTCCCACAGAGGCAAAGTATCCCACTAGAATACGGCACAGATGTGGAAGAAATACACAAAGCACAAAGAGTCAAGTGAAAATATACATACCTCTTATATTTAGACTATATTTGCTTTTCCAGGAATTCAGTTTAGGTTATGCTGTCAATTCACATACAAATGGGCTTAGCATATTTATTCTTCAAGATCTGTAAACATCTCTAGATATAAACTCTAGAAAGGCAAGTATTCAATATGCGTCTTAAAAATGACAGCCGCCACCTAACTTTTCAGGCTTTCTCTAGCCGTTTCAATGGAGCCGGCTCCTTAAAAAAAAATACTGCTAGCTCCTGGATTGGACAGACTGGCTCCTGAACTCCATAACAATCTGTCCACCCTTGCTATAGGGTTCTTTCACACTTGTATGTTTTTGACAGATGCCGTTTCCATTGCTGCATCAAATCACATCAATGACGTGTTTTTAACACATACCCCAAGTGCATGCACGATGAGCATTGATGGCTGTTGATATTGGTTTGCATAACATTTCATTGATTTTAAATGGCAAAAACAGACAACGGTGAATGGGCTCTAAGGGCTCAGTCACACTAGATGCAGTGCGTTCCTGCCCCATTTTGGCCGGAACGCACTGCCTTGCATTGCGGCCGGCTCACTTTTTAGTGGGGTAGGAGGGGGCGTGGCAGGCCATTCAAGTGAATGGCGCCGTAGCCACGCCCTCCGGCCGCAATGCGATCCGATTGCATTGCGGCATCTCTTCCCACACATCTCTTGTCACAGATGTGACAATCAAAAATAATATCCCGCACTGAAATAAATGAACTAAATGGTGAAACCAGCTGCAAGCACGAACATGAATCAATATTCAGAGTGAAAAGTATCAATAGTGCCAAGCTCTAGCTTAACAATAATGAATAGAAATTCTACAGTGTTCCCTGTTCCTCAAAATCATTATAAAGACAAAATATAAATATATATTAGTACAAAAGAAAAGTCCCAGATAAATAACTCCATTAGGGCTGCAACAACTAATCGACATAATCGATTATAATCGATTGAAAAAGTTGTCAACTTTTTCAATAATCGATTAATCGGCTTCCGATTGGTTGGCCCTGTTCACGGCTCCACACACGCTGCACGCCACACCTCCTCCCCACCTCGCGCTCGCCGCTGCCAGGCCCGCCCGCATCCACACCTCCTCCCGCCTCACGCTCAGTGCTCGCCCAAATCCACGATCGGCACAGGTGCGCGGGGAGAAGAAGTAAGGAGGAGCAGGCGTGAGGGAATGACAATAGGCCCGATCTCAGAAACAAGTTGCTGGAAGACTGCTCAGGTAAGCCTGCACTTTCCCACACATGGTGCTCTATAATGTATTGCTGGGATTTGTATTCCTCTATACCTGATGGTACATTGTGATGTATATTAGATCAGCTATAGAGGAATACAAATCCCAGCAATACATTGTACACTGTATGTATAATGTATTGCTGGGATTTGTTGTATTCCTATCAGCACAAAAGGAAGGCAAGATAATATCCTGAGACCTATGAAACTGGGATGAGACTTTGGGAAGATATAATGGATCTGGCCTCAAAATTACTCTGTCTGGGAGGATAGTCAAGTACGGGTCCTTGATCGATAGGGCCTGGAGGTCTCCCACCCTTCTGGCTGAGGTAATAGCCAAAAGAAACACCATTTTAAGAGACAACCACTTAATAGGTGCCCCTGATACCGGCTCAAATGGAGATTTGGTCAAACCCGAAAGAATCAAAGATAAATCCCAGGGAGGAAATACTTTGGTTCTGACAGGACAAGAACGTTCTGTTGCCAGCAGAAATCTCCTAACTAGAGGCTCTTCCAGTAATCTACACTGCAGGAATACAGAAAGGGCCGACATCTGTAACTTAAGGGTACTTAGGGCTAATCCTTTAATCAACTCCATCCTGTAAAAATTCTAAGATAAGAGGAACTGAAACCTTACCTACATCCAGGCTGCAGCACCTCTCCTTGGCGGCCAGTGGAGGGGAGGGGTCAGCGTCCTCACTCACACTGACCCACATACCAGGATGTGGCTGTGGGTGCCTGCAGAGACGTGTATAGGCTCCGCCCCCACCAGGCTAACAGTGATGTGATCGCCTTCACAGCACACACGCCGGAGCATACAGCTGTCCCTCCTCCGTGTCACAGACTTTACTGCAGCTCATTGTACAAAGTTTTAACAATGAATCGCAGTAAAGTCTGTGACACGTAGCTGGGCAGAGCAGAGTCGGGAGCGCTGCTTCGCCTGTGGCCCGGTACCATTTGATCCACGGACCAGTACCGGGCCGCGGCCCGGGGGTTGGGGACCACTGATGTACTGGATAAAAGCATGCACAAACTGATGGCGGATATGCCGCTGTGTGGGAAGAGATGGCGACACTGTACAGCTTCAATCCTTTATTGTATTGTACTATCAGCTTTTTATAAACAAGGAACATTGCCTGTAGATGGCCTTTACTAAGAACAAAAACATACCCCCACACATTTTCCTCTATGGGGTGGAGTAAAGCAGACTTAGGCGTCATTCACACTATGCGTGAATGTGCATTTGCAGATTCCTGCAGCAGGAATCCCAAACATTCCGTTTAGAAGCAACGACTGTAACCCAGTCAAGTTAAAGTGACATTAAACCCTCAGATTTTTTTAACATAAACCAATACTGTAATGTGCCTTACTGTAATCCATGGTTGTTTCCCTTCTCTTTGCTGCTCTTCCTTTTAAATCTGTATCTGTTCTCATGCTGGGCAGAACTTCTGTTTTGCAGCAGACTGCCTTGTCTCAGGAATGGATATACGGTGTATGTGTACAGATGTTCCTCACTTACCGACTTACCTGTTTTGCGACCACTCGCACTTACGACGGACCGCCGATCGACCTCCGACCTTGCGCGTCAGTGCGACGGGTCGCCGGCGGAAGTGACATCCCCCGATCTTCACTGCAGGTCTCGGTAAGTATTTCCATTGCCGGATGTACAGTACACTGTTCGGTACTGTACATCGGCAACGCTATACAGTACTGTCCTAATGCAGTACAGTACTGTATAGAGTTCCTCACTTAACGACCAATCCGTTTAACAACCTGGTCGTAGGAACGGAACTCGGTCGTTAAGTGAGGAATACCTGTATACGTTTGTATAGGCTTGTAACCTGAGCCAGC